GATTTTTAAATGATAATAATATTAATAAATATTTGGCACTTGAAAAGTGAATTTCTGAATATCTATACAGTGGACTCTTACGATATTGCCATGGTCGGGGCTGTAGGGGCATAAAACGGCAAGTAGTCGAGAGTTTTCTCCGTGCTCAGCTCTGTCGTTATAGCCCCGGCTCCTGTGGCTGCGCAAAAGCTGGATCGTGCTGGTGGCGACGGCGTACATAACGCGGTGGGAGAGCGAATGTGTGTGCGTGAAATTACGTATGGAGGGGAAGTGCCTCGGTGGCAATATACCTAGTGGCAATATCGTAAGAGTCCACTGTACTTTTTTATAATGCATAGATTTCAATTTGAAAAAGTGGAAAAAGTTAATTAATTAAATTAAGAAGAAAAATACAGATTTCGCCAGTAAATTAATATTAACTAATAAATGAAGATTTCTAACCAATAATGGTGCGAAAATTGTTTGAATATGAAACAAAGAATGGAAAAAAATCAATATTGAATCATTTGCTCATTTTAATAACGTAATTTCCTCGTTTTTATATATAATATTCATTTGCTGATACGTGTTCCTTTACGGGTACATCCACCCTATATGAATAAGCATCGCAACGATCGTCGTGTTTTGGGCCCGACAATATGACGTCTACATGATCATAAACTGGTATTCGACTCCAACAATGTGCACCACACTCCTATCTATAGGACACTTATCAGTAGATCGAATGTTTTATGCATTCATCGAATACATGATTGTTTAAAATTCAGTATTAGTGAAAAGTTTGATCAAGTTCAGCGAGCTTTTCATTTTATTGGGAACCTCGTTGTAGTACCCTTACCAGAGTAAAAAAATGTTTGTTTGATTGCAGTTTTTATAAATCAATCCGGAGAAATCTGTATTTGTATAAAAATCCGTAGTATGTATGTTACTTTGCAACGCTGAGTTCTTGGAATCTCAGGAACAATATTCACACATACTCCTCTCTAGATTAAGATCCATTCGATCATAGCCATACAAATCTACAAGAAGTGAAAAACAATTTCGATATCACACAAATACATTAGCCAATAAGACCAACATCAACAAATTATATCTCGCACAAACATCCAGATAAGACACAAGACACTATCAATCAAATAGAACACATTTTGCCAAATAGAAATATGAATTTTATACACTCGTAACATACAAGATTGTCTCAAAATCGGTATGGTAAAATGTTTAATGAGGTCTATTGAAGTTTTTATTTTATTTAGAACTCATTAAAATATAACAAATTTCTGTTTAATTTCAGTTTCTATAGATTAGTCCACAAAAATCTGTGTTTCTGTAAACATCTGCAGTTCAGATATTAGTATTAAAGTTTTAAGCGTGTTTCTTGTTAGTTTCTTAGTTACTTGAAATTATTTTACATCGCAATTGATTATCCTTTAAATTAGCTCTGGGGTATTAATTTATCAACGAACAGTGTTGCATCGAAAGTACGGGGTCACTGAAGCATTTCTTTTATGAGTTTTACCACAACAATATTAGTGTAATTATTTCTATTAATCAATTCCAATAGTGCTCACAAAATATGTAATCAGTTAGTGTACAACGTCGTCTACAAAATCGCAAACTTGAAACTGTAGCGAATTTTTTACATTTCTTGTGTATTGTTTCAATCACTATTGTGAAATTTCTTTCACTACGATATGATTATTAGACAGTGGATTTTTATGCAAAATGACATTTTATAAAGTACTTCATGAAAACCGGAACAAAACTAGGAATTTCTTTCTTCCCTGAAGTATCTTAATAGGTTAAGAATAAAATGAAACACTTGTTACATCTGGTGAAACTTTTGCCTTTTATTGTATTTCACAGAGCTCTGTAGGCTATAAATGCATAAAATCCGCAGTCCAATTATAAGCTAAGCGATAACAGATTAAAATATGGTCATTTAAGTACTTTTTACGACACTTCAAATTCCTGTAATCGTTCACTGTACTTATACTTTTTAAGCAATATTTGAAACGTTATTTAAACAGTATTCATCCTTTAATGTAGTTACAACCGGGCAGGAGGTTCTTTTACATGCAAAAGCAAATCGAAAATATGGAATAAAAGTTTTTCCTACGATGTTTTATTTCCTAGATAATCAAATTTAAATATCTGTATACATGTGTAATTGAATAGGACATCGGACGTGGCTAATGCGTCTGTTCGTCAGATTCCTTTGCTACTTATTTTCACCATGAATACTCACATACACTCGATGAAATTTCCAAGTGGTTTTTCTCAGACACGGAGTCTCGTATAAAAAAATACATCGAGCAATCATATAACAATTACCTGAACAGTACAGACGAGTTTAACGAATTACAGTGGTAAATTAACAAAATTATACGTTTGAATATTTTACGTAGGTACATCATCATTCCGTAACGAATTATACATAGATTTAGAAGAGTTGTTGAATTTTATTATCTGTTGCTTACAATACACTTTGAACCAGATTTCCTACTGATGCTTTAATAATGTTTGACTATTTTGTCGTTGAGCGTGGTCGCGCGTCTTGAATCGTTAATTTGTTGTTTTCAACCGAATTTGAAAACATTTCACGTATAGTTTTCTGTTTTGTGTGAACGTCTGACTGCAAACAGATCAGGCTATTCACGATTGGTAGATACGAACATGCTTACTGCAGAGCGTGAACAGCTGACATAGTTAACGAACTGTTTTAGATTCAGCAGTTGTAATTCGACAAAAGTATCCAAAATTGCTTTGATCCTCTATTCTTGAATAGGCCAAAAGTTCTGTGTCACTACATTTTTGTTGTTTTTGAAATAAATTTCTTTGACAGGAACGAACGTTGTTTATCTTTCTTCGCATACTATATTTTATATATAAATCACTGATGTTGAGTTCTCGTAACGTAGATGCAAAAATCTTGATTTTTAAAAGCAATTCTTTTAATTCTGGCACGTATTATGAAGAGACGTATAAAAAGCATGTGTATAAAATTTCAAATCAAATGGTTAATTACTGTATAAGATATGACAACCTTTAAAAATACTCTGGGAGCATGTTGCAGCTTATAATTTCCCGACTATGGGCGTTTCTGTATATAAAAATTACAATTTGTAAGAACAGAGGTATAAATTACAACATTAGCAACTTAAGTAACCGAGAACATTAAGCTTGTTAATTCTATCGACAATATAGGTCACTTTTTTAGGATTTTTAACACAATCAGTCGTAATTTTACAACATTATTTCCACTAACGAAATAAAGTTTAAGTGATCCTTCACGTTGGTTCGCAACACGTATTGCGAAGAAAACGATGAATATCATCTATTTTTTCATCCCGACAGAAAGGGACATCCCCTTAACCCTGTAGTTACGATTGAGTTGACCGCCGATATGCTACCATTGCATGGGACAGTTGAGTCGCGGGTTCACGCTTTACTACAATCCGTGTAATATTTGTTTAACCAATGAATGTAAGTAATTAAATTAATTAAATTCACGTAAATTCGTAACTAATTCGGAATTTTGATCAGTGACTATAGTCACCTTTAGGATACAAGAACTGGTGGTCGTGTGTGGTGGGTGATTATAGTCACAATTAATCCTTATGTTGACAACTGGATGCCCATTTCTATATATTTCTTACAACAATTTTTTATATTCCTCTAACAGTATCGCAAAACCGCTCCAGATACCTATCCTTTTGATATTTTTACGTAGATTTACATTTTAGAAATAAAATTGTGCGAAAAGAATTTAAAATACCAAAGCTTTAACGGGTTGACTACTGTGACATTACATTGACTACTGTTACATTCAGACCATGAAAAAGTTCAAATTTATAAGAAAAATATGGATCTGCAACACACCGTACCTAAGCCTTGTGTGAAATTGTAAGAAATTTCATGTATACAAATGTCACCACCAGATCTGAAAGGGTTAAACAAACATTTCACTTGCCATCATAAGGGTTAATACGCAACGAGCGCTCGACGTTGGATCACTATAGTCATCCTTAGTAACGAATCGGGTAACACCGTTTCGGACATAACGTTCAATTTTCATGAGCGTTCGCGAACATTTTCCAAGCATGCGTCGATCTGCCGTGACCCACGTTGGAAAAACCGCGCTTTCTTACGCGCGCAGCTGCAAGAGCATTGTTAACCAGAGTTGGGCAGAATTTTATTCGAATAATACACAGTGAAAAGCAACAGTCTCTAAGGGTGTCGTTCTGAGCTTTAAACAGTCAATGAGATCAAATAATTGTTCGACAAATGTCGATTCATTCATAAAGAAGTATTATTTTATTATAAAAATTGAAATTTTCACGTTTAAACAATGCCTATGAAACCGTGTGCACGGAATATTATTCATGGAATACCGAATGTCCCGTCGTGGAAAAGGTCGTCCCTCCCGGTCAACTTTCTTGCCATGTGAATCACGTTTTCTTCCGCGGGCTCATCGGGTGATATACATACATATATGAGCATTGCGTCGTAGTCTGACAACAATTTGGTATAAACGAGGCGCGTTGGATGGTCGTCGTCGATCGTAGGAAGAGGTGATTGGCCACACGACGACGATCGACTCCACACGAAATTTCCATTCGATTCGCGAACCCGAGGGCCATTCTCACGGCTTTGGTTGAGTTCATGTCGCGTCATCGAGAGTCGCGAATAATTTCCGTTGCGGTGCCGTGACTAGCAAACGGTCCATAAACGAGGCTCTCTCTCTCTCTCCTTCTTGTCATGGCGACACACGTGCAGAGCGACATGAATTTTCCGGCGTGTAACGATCGGAGTGGACCCACGATCGCGTCGGATAAGTAATCGCTTCTCGCTGTGGACGACGAGTTGGTTTGCGGAGTGCGGCGTGAGGGAGGGGGATCGGACGGCGGAGCGGCGCGGGACGAGCGACGCGTGCGCTGAAAACGGTTCTCTACATAAATATCGCGCGGCCGCGCTTCGACACGCTAGTAACGCGGGCCGTGCTATCAGCCGCTCATTGCCTTTATGATCAGTGCCTTTTAACTCTCTGCCGAGGGAGCTGTGACAGGACACGAATTCAACGTTTGTCCAGCCTCTACAACGATCTTCGCTGGATCATCGATAACACCGGTGAGTGATGATTTCTCGTTCAGTTGTATAGATGGGGAATCGATCTTAGATCGGGTGGCTCTCTTATCGTTCATCCTCGTGTTTATGAATTCATCGAAGGGAGGGATGTTTAACCCTCTTGCCCTGATGAATACATGGTCATTTTGACCAAATAACAGTGAACCGTCCGTCGTGCTTTTCGGTATAAATTGTGCCACGCGATGTCCACGCGAATGCACGTTTTTACGGAGTGATTTATATGAAAAGTGGGAGTCTAGTAAATGTGTATTCGAATGAAGGATCTTAGCGCGGTAGGAAAGATGATACGTGCATTTTGTTTATTCTTCAGTTTTCTTACGGTATGATATTTCGACGAATATGATACATCAGTTTTTATGAATATCTCCATTTTTATTTTCAGTCTGAGTGCGTGCGTGTTTTTTTTTTGTATCTTATGCTGTTTTGGTTTTTATTTTTGGTTGTTACTCGATTCGATCGTAAGTCATTGTACACATATTTGCTGCGTACTGTACGGATAAAGAAGAGAATAAAGTCTCTGAACCTTTATTGTGTTTTTATTCGTTGCGTCTGTTACAAATGCACAATCATCAACAGGCTAGTTATAAGGCGTGAAGTGCTTGTTCAGAGATGTCAGACGATTCTGTTGAAATTTTATTATGATTATATTATTATCGTATTATTTTTACTATTTCATTATTTCATACCGAAAACGCAACAGATGAAAGTATTTTATGTCAGTTTCCTTGGAATATAATAAATGAGATCCACGCATGTAAACATATCGATAAAATTTTGTTCATAATCCGATTTGCAGAATTATTTATAATGAAATTTTCACTGTAGATCAAAATGTCCCTGCATTCGATTACCGTGTCGTGTTCATATCATTTGCTTTGGGAAGGTTGATTCTTTTTGCAATATTTCGACACGTTTACCGTAATCTTATTTGAATTTCGCGGGGTTGCGAATCTGCGTGCGCGTACGCGCGAAGCAAACACGTCGAATGAATTGTATCGAATTAACACTTCGATAATACGACAAAAAATTACATCTATGATACACTGTATATATATTTTTGAATTTATTGAAAACATTTGAAAGTTTTATACGAAATGTAATGATTAGACCCCAGAAGTAATAATCATTTTCCTGAACTTTTTGTTTAAAGTTTATCATTATATTCACTGGAATCACTATATAGTGACTATTTTGCCAGCACAAATCATTATTTATTATTAATAATAATTATTAATCAAAATCTCTGAGATTTTTGAAACGAGAGGTGATTGAGCTCCAAGAATCACTTTTAATTCTGTGCTCACTGCCTTCGACAGAATCGAGCAATTTCATTTAATCATTGCAGAAATTACCTACACAAAATCCCGTATCTAAGTAATAGAACATTTATTATGTTTGTAAAAAAATACGACATTTCATTAATTAACGAAATAGTAAATATTTTCGTCTATTTACCGAGTGTAGAATGATGTAGTATATGTATGTATTCACTGATTTATAGAAATTGCTAAAAATTGCTCGAGAACCTGTTTTAACGCTTAAGAACAATTAAATATATCTTCCAATCATTGTGTTGTTATTGAATTCTGTGTTTTGAAAATTCGCTAAGATATTTATTTTTATATTAATATTCTTTTTTCTTCTTCACGTATTTCACAATTATTGAAAGCATTTTTTACCCGCAACACAGGAATAATAATTATTATAAATGGTTAGTCTGTTCGATCAAATACATTCAGCCAGTAATAGTACCTATCACTAATTTTGTTTCATACAAGACAGCGTCATACAACATCGTTTTTATCAAACACGATCAAAATTTTTATCCGGATAAAGAGTCAAACAATCACTTGACTATCATTTATGGAATAAATTATCGAAATAGATTACAGAATAATTTATCGAATAAGTATTCGAAACAAATTATACGTATAAGACAAAATGTCAATCCGTGACACCCATCAGAACAGTAAAGAGTTAAATCAATAAATAGGGTTTCAATTCTTGGATTTTATTCGAATGAAATATTGTCCGTTTCTGGATTTAATGAACGACTTAATGACCAAATTTACAGTTTGTGAAATGTTAATTGAATTTTTGCTACGAGTTTAGTTGATTTTCCGTTGCCGCGTCGCTGGAATAATCTTTGTGCGGTGGCTCACGGTGCAGGGAATTTACTCCATGATAATTTTAAAACGTAATGGCAAAAGCTGTCAGTGATATTAACAACATTTATTTCACTTTTATCACGATATATATAGAAATGGATAAGTAGTTTTTGTTGTCTATTTGCTTAACCGAACGATAATTACGAATTTACACGAATTGGTAATCATATAGGTCTATAGGTAATGGCTGGGCTATTATCTTTTGTTAGAACGGTTCGTGCGGAGGTACGAGCAATTTTTCTCGTTTGTTACGTTTCAAAGGCATACAAGACATATGACAATAACAAAGAAACGATGAAATCAAGAAAGAAATAACGGTGGCATTGAGTATGTTGCCAGTAGGTTCGAATCTACCTGTTAGTTTCGAACTCCTTATGAGTACTTTGAGAAACAATAAATAATACCTTTAAGTAGACTCGAACTCAGACAAGACAGGTTCGAAAACTTTAGAAATAGATATACTTCGAGAAATGGAAGTGATACTTTAAAGTATAATCGAATCTGGACCAAGTAAATTCGATCCTTTTACGAGAACCTACTTTAACCGGAAGATTTTTATTCTGAGCAATTGTGTGATTTGTTCTCGGTGAAAAATAAAAACAAGTAGTCCACATAACATTTATTTAACTATATTTTATTTAATTATATTATTTTGAACAGCTACTTTATAATTATTTTCATTACTCTCAATGAATAATTAGTTTTTTTTAAATGTATTTTTTATAGTCGCATCAACCTCTAACAGCAGGTTTATTAGCGACTATGATTGCATTTTGAATTGCAATACTGTAGTCGAATTAGTTTTATTACTCTGTAACATTTCACAAATACTACTCAAAAATAGTATCTGACGGATAAATTTTGGTTGTTATCTATTTCGTTTATATCGATATTCTGTTTCTGTTGTAAAGGTGTGTATCTATTTGTCGCGTATCCTCGTGTCGTACATCGTTGCGTATCACCGTATCGTATCACTATGCGATACATTTTCATACGTAACGATGCAACGCTTGCCCATCTACATTGATACACAACGGTGATACGATACCAAAGCTCGCAACAAGTGTATACGCACCTTAATATCGAGCTCGAGCGGAATCGAAGAATGCATTGTACCTAAATACATATATGTACCCTTAGGGAAAGGGCCTCCTACCACTTGGTATTGGGAATTATTGTAATTTATGTCAAACTAACATTAAATATAACATTTATTTCGGTCCTTGAAATAAATTTACCAAGTGGTAGAAGGCCTTCCTCTTACGCCACATTTCACATAGCGGAAGCCGAATTTGCTCGTGAGAGTACATAATGTCTCTAGTGTGATCTTTTGTCATTTAGGGTTCGAATACTACTTTTACGAGATTCGATTTTCTCAACTGTCAAAGCACTTATTTAATTACAATATTATCTCAAAAACATCATTTCCAAGTACATTCTCGAACCATGTGTACAGGTAGTCATTCAAGAGTTTGAAACCAGCATGTAGAATCCTATAACTTTATAAATACCGAAAATGAAACGTCACCTTTTACGAGTAGTAATCGGAAGTCCATGAAGTGAACAAACTTGTCTATAATGGAATTGAGTTGGATTAGTACACATAGAATATGATCCCATCACCAATTGGTACGTCCCGAGTTCTAAGTTAACCCCGGAAAAGACACTCCATGGGGTTCTTGTTCCCGTTCCCGCCCTTCGCCTCAAAGACGGAGTTAATAGCATTAGAGTTTGTGGAACAGGCTGAGATTATTCTCATAAGGAGAGGTAATCAGGAAGGAGGCGAAAAAAAAGGTGTGTTCTACGTAACGTAAGAACTACCAGTCAGACTCATCAATGGGGCTACAGTGGTGGGATCGATTCCTGTGCTAGACGTATGGGACAAGATCCTTCGAAATCTTCTGTATGGCGTTCCGAAGTCCCCTGGCGAGCTCGAAGGTTTCCTTACCTGGTGTATTATTGAAGTTCAATAGTGGTATTACTTAATTGAACTAGATAGTATTGGACAAGAGCATAGATTTGGCACTTATTGAAATAGAAAGCAGTGCATGCGGAAATAGTAGACCTCCGTAGGTCCCAGCTGAACGAGCAACAGATCCAGTAGATCACGGGGCACATGGCACTAGTATTATTTTATTTTATTATTTATTTTCAGTATCCCCTGCCTTTTTGGTGTCTACACCTAATGTTTTACAGAGAGAAATGTTGCCGAATTTGGACCATCGCATAGGTTAGACCACCACAGTCGTGTGTAAGAAATTTGGGCCTTTTGATAGACAATATGTGTTGTTTATAGGTACTAAGTTAGTTAATGCAATCACCATTATCATACACATATTTTCTATTACAAGGCCCAAATTTCTTACAAATTACAGTAGTGGTCCAATTTAGGCGATGGTCCAAATTCGGCAACCTTCCCCTATAAAATTACGAACCTGTATACTACCATCTTACAAAACCCCGTTTAAATCGAAGTCGAACAGTTTGGGTCCTTCCCTTGTAAAGAATAATAATTGAGTAAAAGTATAAGAAGGTTTAATACAGAACACACACGCACATATTCACACGAGTATTATGCAATGAATACCGATTCTTATACGACAAAATCATCATTCGATTATACAAATTGGAAAAGTCGAATCGTACAACGGGAGCAGTATTATCGTTATTAACGGTGGTTCGCGTTGATGTAACGAGCATATTTTCCACTTCGCGACGTTTTGAATGCAAATGAGCGATTAAGAAAACGTGCGATCAGGCGACAAAGGCCGGGAAGGACCGCTTAGCAATTTCACGGACGGAAGGGTAAATCGG